AGCTAGGCAATCTGCAATCTAGCATTTGTACAATGACAAATAATATAAATGTGTCTGTTCCAATAAGTTCATAGCTGTGTGTTAAGCCCTATCATAATTGAAACGATATGCTCACAAGTGGTTAAATATACAATACAATAGTTAATTAACTTTATTAAGACATTTCGTAATTAAATAGACATAAAGTGTCTCATATTTTCATATATGATATATTGTGTTCATATGTATAGTAATCTCAACAATAAGTTATAAGTAGTATAAGATTAGAAATAATATGTTTTCATAAGTTATTTGAATGTATTTTAATATTGATATGAATTGAGGCGAAGTGTATGAGACGGACAATGGGTTAGTGTTTGTGAAGAAGAACTCATCGGCCGATGGATTAGTCATGTTTTTGGGGGAATTGGAGTCTTTGAAAGCCATCGAAGCGACCAAAACAGTGAGAGTTCCCAAACCGTATTGCATTGTTCCGGAGGTGAAGGCGCCAGGAGGTGCTATAGTGATGGAGTACATCGAGATGTCTGCCCTCAGACAACACTCCGGAAGACTGGGCGAACTGTTGGCTCGAATGCATTCGTGTAATGCAATTGCGGGCAAAGAGAAACGCAAGAAGGAGTCGTGGGTCGGCCAGAGTGAGGGCTTGGAGTGCATCGAGAGATATGGGTTTCACGTGAGCACCTGTTGTGGTATTATCGCACAAAACAACGAATGGGAAGACAATTGGATTGAGTTCTTCGCCAGAAATAAACTGAAACAACAAATAGATTTGATTGAGAAGAATGAGGGAAATAGGGAACTGATTGAGATGTGGTCTGAATTGCAGAACAAAATTGACAAATACTTCACTGATATTAAGGACGATATCGTGCCGGCGCTCCTTCACGGAGACCTCTGGTCGGGCAATGCGTCCCAAACGGCGGAGGAGCCGGTCATCTATGATTCGGCCGCCTTTTACGGACACTCGGAGTTTGATCTATCCATTGGTCACATGTTTGGTGGCTTTAACCGTGCGTTTTATGAGTGCTATCACAACACATTACCAAAGTCTTCGGGATATGATAGGTCTCGACTCAGTATAAGCTATTTTGCCTCTAATTTCTCTCAATTACTGTGTAATTCAAACGATATTTCTATTCTTCTAATTACAGGCGTAATAATTTGTATCAATTGTTTCATCACTTGAATCACTGGAACCATTTCGGGGGTCAATACAAACGACAATCACTTCAACTGATGCGTCGATGTCTTCAATCAATTCAATCAAATTAATTGTTTGATTAATTTTGTATAAAACAAGACGACATTCACGGGATACGACATGAATGGAGATTATCTCTTCTTTCGGCTCAACTTTTGTGATGAAATCCCTCGAAGAAGTAACTCATTTTCGATCTCCAAATCCCTTCGTTTCCAAGGCTTCCATATGTAGTGAAACGTAACGATCCAGACGAGTGTTATTCCTATCCATTCATTCATTTATTCATTTAATTATTGATTTATAATAAAATTACTGTAAATATTAACTTTTCTATTAATATTCTGTATATTATTTTCATAGTCTATCTTATTATTATGACAACTAATAATTTTGTTTTTGTTTTGAATTTACTTAAATTTGATTACCAGTAAATAAATTGTTACTTTTATTATAACAAATCAATAAATATCGATATTTACCACTCATTATGAATGGGAAAAGAGATGAACCATAAGATGATATCGATTTGAAATATAGCGCTTCTGTCACGAAATATATTACATTCAATAGCATTGACCAAATCGCCAGCTTTTGAACTCTGGTTTCCAAAGATTAGAAATAAAAGGATTAATTGCAATAACTGTTCCCAAAACCATTAGTGAAGAGATATTAGGAGTACTCAATATTAATCAATACATACGGCATGATATATAAATAGATGGATGCTTGGATCAGTATGAAACATATCATTATGTTATAGATTCCGTACAAATGATGAAATGCTAGATCTGTTAAATACATTAATTAAGTCAACAACAATTGCAATTAAATTTAAACTTTTAATATCAAACCATTTGCTGCATCAGTTGTGAATATTTTATCTCTGAGAAAGTGTTTGTCATAAAAGCATCTGAAAGCTGTTCCGATGTGCATGAATGACAAGAAGCTAAGCCAACCTCTTAGCGAATAATCACTCCAATGAGCCATTATTATAACAAATCAATAAATATCGATATTTACCACTCATTATGAATGGGAAAAGAGATGAACCATAAGATGATATCGATTTGAAATATAGCGCTTCTGTCACGAAATATATTACATTCAATAGCATCGACCAAATCGCCAGCTTTTGAACTCTGGTTTCCAAAGATTAGAAATAAAAGGATTAATTGCAATAACTGTTCCCAAAACCATTAGTTAAGAGATATTAGGAGTACTCAATATTAATCAATACATACGGCATGATATATAAATAGATGGATGACTGGATCAGTATGAAACATATCATTATGTTATAGATTCCGTACAAATGATGAAATGCCTGATCTGTTAAATACATGAATTAAGTCAACAACAATTGCAATAAAATTTAAACTTTTAATATCAAACCATTTGCCGCATCAGTTGTGAATATTTTATCTCTGAGAAAGTGTTTGTCATAAAAGCATCTGAAAGCTGTTCCGATGTGCATGAATGACAAGAAGCTAAGCCAACCTCTTAGCGAATAATCACTCCAATGAGCCATATCTTGTGATTCTTGTTACTTCACCTTTAATTATAGTAATTTACAAAACTTATAGAAACACATTTAATTATGAATAAAATGGATCAGAATTTGAGAAATGAGTGAATAATAGATTAAGAGAAGTGAGTGGTTGTCATAAATTTCAAATGCAATAAAGAATACCAGAATTGAAGCCATTGGGCGACTGCGCGTCCTATCTATCCTAAGCCTCTATTCTTAAGCCTTTTTAATCTGATAAACACTGCTTTCAAGAATTTATTCCTCCCTTTATATAACAGAAACACTACATTACAGTAAAATACATACAGTACTGTAGGACAGTATCACATACAAAATTACTATTCTGTATTAAAATCGTCTTTATTCTATGTGCTATACTACAGAATATTCTGTACAGTAGTGAAGGCTATCTTTAGGCTAATTAAGTCTATAAGAAGTTGCAGTTTGTAAACAACATAAAATTAACAAATAAAGTCCATTTGCCATGAATGCACACATTGTTAACAAAACAACACATTTACAACAAACGAATAAATTTATTTAGCAAATAAAACAATTGAATGATTGTCTAAACATTTAATTCATAAGAAACTTTGCTTTAAGAGACAAATGGTCGGAACCTAAGTATGCGTTCGGGATGTTCTCGATTTCTTTCATTTGGTTGGCAGTCATGAGTTGATTAAATCCCAACAGTTTTAACTTCTTGTAGTCATAGAAGATATAGTCAACTAATGACGACTCAAACCGATTTGATGTTGAGACCCATTTGTCGGCAGGATTTCTCTCATCATTAGACACATCCGAGAAAATAGATCTCAATTTGAAATTATGTTTTATTGACATCTTCTCAGTGTTGCCGTCTTCGGCACTACTCTCACTGGAAGAGCTCTCATATCTCGAATCGGATGTAATTCCCGATAACTCTAAATTACAGTTTTCCAGAGCATTTCCTTTGCCGTAACTGTTGCGCTGTCCGGAAATATCGCCAACTGTGTAGCCCTTGAGGTTTAAGGCACCCGTAGTAATGAAATTAGGGAGAAGCGATTGAGGCTCGCTATTCAAATCACCGCATAATATGATGGGATTGTATTCAAAGGCGTTTTCATTGGCGGAAATCAGTGCCAATCGGTCCAACTCTGCCAACAAAAGTCTCAATTGAGTTATTTTGACGTCACCTCTCTTTGGGTTATACAAGAGGTGAGTGTTGGCCACAAACAACTTTGATTTGCTTTTCAACGACTTTGGCCTCAACTCTACTATCAATCCGATGTGATCTCTGTCTAAAAGAGATGACAAGTCTTTGCGTTTGAGCTCTAATTTAGTGGATTTCAAGAGCGAAAACATATTCTCCTTATAGGCAATGACACAGCCGTCCATTAAGTTTCCCGTTCTCTTCTCATAGACAAAATTATAGCCATATTTCTGGAGCTCCGGACCAATCAGCTCCCGGAAGTGCTGTGAATGTACTTCTTGTAAACAGAGAATATCTGCGTCCGATTCAAGCAATTCGTTCACAATTAGGTGACCTCTTCGAGGCCATTCAATGTGTGTGGGCTCGCAGTGGTGGTACAGGTACTTGTGTTCATTCAATAGGTTTTGAGACAAAATATTATAAGACATTATCGAGAATTTAAATCCATTTGTTCTGCTATTCGAGTCATTCGTTTTGATAAACGGACGAAACGTTGACACTTTTCTCCGGATTTCATCTGAAATGAGATAAGTCTTCAAATTTAAATCCAACACTTTTATGGTTTAGTAGTGCATTGATTAGCTAAATATAGCTTATTTTCTATCGACTCATTAGTCAAACATTATTTCTATCAAAACACACGGAATACTAATTGAAAACATAGAGAATATTCTGCTTATATTCTGGCCCTGCATTGCATTTACCGATAGTTAAAGTTTGTTTGCATTTCTCAGATCTAGGACTTGGATCGGAATAGTTGTGACAATTGGGGTCTTGTGATGAGCCATAGGCTGTATGGGCCGCGAATCCATAGTATGGCTGACGGGAGGGATACCCGTAGTAGGGATTAGTGGCCATTGAGTAGTGCTGTCCACTATTATAGCCCATATTGAACCGCATGTCTCGTATATGTGATGAGTGGGCCATTATTGGCGGCAAACCATGGGATCCGTTATACTCTTGGTAACCAACTCTTCGGTTGACGTGAGTGTTGTATGAAATATACTTCGTGTCACTCTTTTCTCTGCAATCCCTTCTGGAGTTCATTGACGTCTTCGGCCCATTAGATCCACTCATCTCCGAGTCTTGGCTCACAGACTGACCACCGATGGTTCGTCTCGATGTATGACTATTGCGATCATTCATTGCAACCAAATAACTGGTATTGAAATGTAGTGACAATTGTTTGTTTGTGTCGCGAGATATGAAACTGATTTGAGGACAATGTCTGCACAACTGATGACAACTTCTAACCCAAACACTAATGCGAAGATTTATGTCAAATAACTGGTATTGAAATGTAGTGACAATTGTTTGTTTGTGTCGCGAGATATGAAACTGATTTGAGGACAATGTCTGCACAACTGATGACAACTTCTAACCCAAACACTAATGCGAAGATTTATGACTAATATTTTCATTACAAACCAAACAAACACTCAAATCAAGTCTAAAACACTAGTATTTGCAACAAAAGTGTTTTACTCTAATTATATACTCCTATAGTATAAATATAACTAATAGTAACGCAAATCAGTTACTTTTAATTGCAATTTACAGTCAATTTTCATGTTTTCAAATTCACTGATTTCTCATGTAATTTACAGTTTGGCAATCATATGATTATGTCATATATTACGGCATTGTTTTGACATATATTTTGCTCATATTTATCAATATATTAAATACAGTTAAATAATATTATTACTAAACATGTAAAAACAAATTAAATCTAACCAGGATCTAATTATATTGATTACAATTTCGTTAAGTTTAATAAAAATTTTAAATAAACAAAACTATACTAAATTTGTGCAAACATGTAACCATACTTGATGTACATATATTATGGTCAGTAATACGTTTGTGGATTGAATGCAATTGAATGCAATATATTTGATGAACAAAACCGAGCGAATGAGTGTACAAACAGAAAAGACTCATTCATTCAGTGATTCAGCTCTTATTGAGTGAGCATTTGGTTTGAAGTTTGAAAGAAATTGTCATTAATTTAGTTGTTATTAACGTAAACGACAGACACGACGCATACCTGAGCCACGATGAGTGCAATCGGAACGGGAGTACGAGATAGTGAGCGATGGCCCCAATATCTGTCAAACTAATGGTGTGTTTCATGTGTTTCAGTACGACTTGTCTGCCTCTCAGTTCTCACCGGACGGACGGGTATTTCAAGTGGAATACGCGCACAAAGCCGTCGACAACAGCGGGTATGGCCTCACGAGTGGGCACTCACTCACTGACCACTCACTCATGCGGTCATTGCTTGTGTCATATGTATAGCACTGTCATCGCGTTGAGGGGAAAGGATGGCATAGTATTGGCGGCCGAGAAGTTGGTCGCATCCAAGCTGTACGAGAAGGGGGCGAATAAACGCATCTTCAATGTGGACACACATATAGGGGTCGCCGTCGCCGGACTCCTGGCCGACGCCAGAGCTATAGTGGAGAACTCGAGGGAAGAGGCGAAGAACTACCGGTCGGAATACGGATCACCCATTCCTATCACAGTATGCATTCATGCACTTCTGTGCACTTATCGTGAAAAGCATTGATTTCGTGTCGTTTACATTGACGGCACAAATGTTGGCCTCATTTTTGACACCAAATTGACGCCAATTCATGACATTATCAAAGGATATTGTATTGACTGAAACGGATTTGTTTTTCAGTACCTGAAGGAGAGGACATCCATGTATTTGCACGCATACACTATGTATAGTGCGCTCAGACCTTTCGGATGTAGTCTTCTGTATGCATCTCACGATCCCATGGATGGGCCGCAACTCTATTGTCTCGATCCGTCAGGCCTGTCATGGGTTAGCCATTGAGTTCTTACGACACAACTATCATATAAATGTGTTAACAATGCGTTTGAATGCAGGGTTACTTCGGGTGCGCCATAGGAAAGGCTAAACAGGCGGCCAAAACAGAACTGGAAAAGTTGAAACTCAAAGACATGACCGCCAGACAACTCATCAAAGAGGCCGCGAAGATGTATGCCTTCTATTCACTCATACATTGTTTCTATTCATGTCTGAATTTATCACATATTCTTTGTCTGTTGACAGCATTTATGTGGTTCACGACGAGATCAAAGACAAAGCCTTTGAACTGGAGATGAGTTGGATCGGCGCCGACACTAATGGCAAACACGAATGGGTGCCCAAAGAGTTGTTCGATGAGGCGGAACAGTTAGCCAAAGAGGCCATCAAACCCGACTCCGACTCCGATATAGAACAGGAATAGGAGTTTTGATGTGAATACTGTATTTTTATTACACATTATATGCCATTCAATGAAATGTTTTGAAATAAAAACTAAATTTCCAAATACCGGTACTTTTATTTTATTTTATTTTATACGGTAGTAATAAAAGCCCAATAAATAAAAATTAATCTTATTCAATTGATTGTTGTTACAAATTTATTAATTTGAACATTGGATTAGATCTGTATAAATATAAACTTAATATTCATGTATGAATTCATTGATTATTGAATTCATTGATTGTTAAATGACTCCGAAATAGGAGAGAGCGCTTCTGGTATAAGTGGGAAGGAATGCATACGTGGTGTAACTGGCCATCGCTATGAACGCCAACAGTGCTGTGTCTGTCAGATAATGAGAGTGTCATTAAGGAAAAAAGGAGACAATTTGACACAAATTAATAGCAATTCGTTATCAATATTCTTAGTAATGATGGCTTATGTCTGTATTGTATATCCGTCTCATTCATTAACAACTCTTTGCAAAAGCAATTCGTAAGCCATTAGCGAAGAAAGGGTTGAGTTTTTAATTGTATTTTTGGTGCAAATAGTGGATAGAGAGTGGGAAATGTGTTTGAATTCTGTATATTGTTCAGAATATTCTGTATATTCTGTATACTGTAGTGAAAAGGATACTGAATGTGGTCTTTTCCCAGGGCTCCAGCATATAGAGTGAAGTGCGTAACTCATACACGAAATACCAGTGCGAAAGTCTGTCACAAACTCTGCTAACAATGCCACTCATGTCAGTGCCGTATATGCCGTATATGCCGTCTCTGCCACTGCTCTCCAACCGATAGACCAATACTTGAGCCAAAAAACCAAAACCAATCGATCGCTAAAACCCAACGCTCTTCCTATGCTTTCGTCGCCTCGAAGAAGCCTTTTATTAAATAAATATCAATATATAGACAACTCTTATAAAGTGAACCCAAATATTATATTATATCATAAGATAAACACAAATAGGTTTAGCCTGAAATTGTCACACAACGCTAACACCTGTCACCACATCATTACCTATACATCAAACACATACCTATTATTAATATGAACATCAAATATACTGCTTATTTGCCTAATTATACACAGCACCCATTGCTATAGTACCACAATAACAACACATAAGCTTATTATAGTCTATAGTTTGTTAATTAACCGAAAATGATAAAAATAATCAAATACTTGTATCGATAGATATAATGACAAGGATTGGTGTAAATGTGATGCAAGTGTGTGTCCAGTAGTTCAGTGATTGCTCTCAAAGCATACACTTATCGATAAATTTCGGTATAACTTATTCACTAAACTATAGACCAGTATATATATACACGAGAGAAGTCTATATTTTGAGAGCAAATGCAATAAAAAAAGTTATTTTCGCCACAAAAATAAGTGAAAATGTTTTGATCGATTGGATTGACATGTGAAGGGGAGATGGAAGTGGTGTTTGGCACCAGTAGTACACATATTATACGGTATATTATAAAGTAGAGTACAGTATGAGAGCCAACACTCACCTGATATGTCATATATTTAATTCAAATGCTATTGATTTGAAGGGATAATAGGAAACACTATTCACTGATAATACAAGTATTGACTCACTTTTCTAACTCACTGTAAGTATTGACATCACATCACAACTGTTTGCATATATTATTCATAACATTGTATACTAATCATGGCTTTGATTGTATGCATCACTTATCAACTCAATGTACAGTCAATGTTGTAGTAATAGTACAATAATACTCATTACGAGTCAATTGTTATGTAGAAAGCATTCAATACTATTTCGATGTATTATACGTATTGACGCCAATTCACAACAAATTAATTAATTTCTCAATACTATTGAGTCAATAGTGAATACATTTTACAGTCGATGCCTACTATTAGTTACGCACCACTTCATAGTAATAGTGCAGATGTGGTGTGCAGATTATCTGTATGACACAACCATTTTGCCATTCATTGTCACCACAAATGTCCAAATCATGTCAATCACTGTACAGATTGAGTGCATATGTTTAGGCAATCATTGGTCACATTTGGGTCACATTTGTAAACTAATATACAATTAGAATAAATGGGAATATAAGGGAATATTGGGGAATATGTGGGGAATATTCCGGGAATGGTGGGGAGTGTGCGAGCGCTGGTGTTGGAGCACTGGTATGTATGGTATGACTTCACTCGGTATATGTGTGCGGATTGGAGGTATGGGTGATAAGGGTTTGCCATGAGTTGGTTGGATGTGATGACTGGTTGCGTCGACTCGCGTCTTAGCGATGTTTACCTCAAGTAATGATCACTTGAATAGTGTTGCAGTGAATGACTGAATGAGTGAATGTCGTGAATGTGTGTAATATTGCGGACAAAACACAAAACGGCTTAACATTACATAACATCACATCAGATGACAACAAAACATCACTGATTTCACTCTCGCAGTCAATGTCTCATTGTTTGCAATCAACGAATCCATACTAACCATCGATTGCCACATTGATAGCCAAGTGATGTGTTTGTGTTGTTCACAACTGATCCATCAGTTGTAAGACAAGTGAGTGTAACGACGGTATGATTGGCTCTTGAGTTGAGATGATTGTGGGCTAACATATGATATTGGCCACAATCGCGGTGATAGTGACTGATCTTTCACTCATACTGGCATCCAATGGTTTCATGCGGTGATCCGGTGGTGAAGTGATGGCGAGCGCTAAGGCAGGGGTACATGTGGTGCAACTGAAGCAGATTTCAGTACCTCTTAAGCTCCAGAATGGGACCAAATTCATGAAATGGGACGACGACTCGGGAGTGGGCACTGCCGTCACCCTCAGGGTCGACAAGAAGGGATTCTTCCTCTATTGGACCGATCAATACAAAGAGACGGAATTCCTCGAGATCTCGAGTATCCGCGACACGAGAACCGGAAAATACGCGAAACTCCCCCGAAGTGAAGGCAAACTGAAGGACTCGCTGGTGATGGGCAGCCCTGACGTGGCCCTCGAGGACAAGACGGTGACTGTGGTGTACGGCCCGGATCTGGTGAACGTAAACTTCATTAACTTCTGTTGTCATAACCGCGAGACGGCTGTGGAGTGGGCCGAAGAGCTGCTGAAAATGGCATACAATATGCTGGCCCTCAACGCCAGTGTCGCGACCTTTCTGGAGAAGGCGTTCACGAAAATGCATTTAATGACAGACAAAGAGAACAAACTGCCCATCAAAAAGTAAGCATCTGATCCATTGGATCCATTGTCACCTTATGTCCATTTGTATTGTATAATGTGTGGTGATTAGCATGCAATTAGACAAATGGATCACTTCTTGATGGTCTAATTGTTGACTTATTTGGATGATGTTTGACATGAATTGATGTGATGTACAGATGTTATGAAAAGAGAAATAGAAAAACAAATAAATTATCAATTTTCTCATTTCTCTTCAATTAATTTTGATTCAAACAGTTGTGTAAATGTAATGCAATATTAACAACAATGCAATTAAATAATGTTTTTCTGTGTTCTGTAGTCGTAATGGTTTGAAGTAATTATAAGAGCATAGCTTTAAACAAAATTGAAATAATATATGAATTGATGGACAAAATGAGTATAATTTGACAGGTAATGGACGTATAGCTGTTAAAAAGCTTCTATACAGTGAGTAGAGTAATGTATGGATAGAGTTGTGGATTCTGTAGATTCTGTACATAATGTATAGGATGTTAGGATGTTTCGTAAGTAATTATATTCACTGAATCCCGTTGCCTGTCAATCGATAACCAAAATTAATTCATTTTCTTGATCTGAATAAAGGATAATAGTTTTAGTCGTTTTCTCTTAAGCCAATCAAATCAAACAAATTTAATCAGATTTTGGGCGTGTAGTCGACCGGTGCTATCATTCAATAATTAGCTCATTTTGCGCTCATTTGAGTGCCAATAAAGTTGATGTCATTTATCATTAACTAGCAATTCTCTAATTCTCTCAAATCTCTGAGACTCAATGAACGAACAAATTGTCAATGTTTTCAATATTCAAATATCTACTCAAACTCATATGTAATGAGATTTCAAACGATAGGCTTATTTTTAGCAAATTATCCGACAAACCATAAAATTACATCCAATTTAAATACCAGTAATTAGGAGACGTGAACACCAGTTCACTCACCAGTCACTACTCCATCCACATTCACCATTCACTATAGTGTATGGCAGTACACTCTGTAGTACACTATTCGCCGATTACTATCACTTACCCATATGTTTGACGGATATTATAAATAATGGCTCAAAAATGAAATCTTTTCGTCGATTATTGTCTATAAGTCATAATTCCCACTGAGTTATGTTTGTTTTATTTATCGCAATATATTTATCTTTTACGTTTATGTTGTAATACTTTTAAAAACACTTACTTGAAAATAATTTTAATTTAATAAAAGATTTTTATTTGACAAAAAGAATTTATTTGAAAAATGTAGGTGTAATAGATTTACAATAAATATACTGTAACTACAATAGGTATTAAAATTGAGACAATCAAATCAGATATGATATAAAGTTATGGGGATTTATATCTTTTCTCTTTTAATGGCTTTCCATCAGATTCATCGAAACGGAAACCGATTCAATACATAAATATATTTATTGTAATAACGAGTAATTTTGATATTTGTTGGACTAATATTTGATATACAAAGCAATTACTTCATAACGAAATCATAAGTAAGATAACGGTTTGAACTGAAATTGTCTTTTCCTTTCATCTCATTTACAATAACTTCATAACTGTTTTGTTGATTAAATAAATGTGTCGTTTGTTTGCAGATAAATAAAATAAACGAAAACTCTATTTAGGATAACAGCAAAAAAACATAATCTGTTATTACTTTCACTAAATCTATAGATATTATCA